CTTTAGGGCGGGGCTACACGGTGATTGACAGGTCTCTACCACGATGTAAACATGGACCCTTGCCCACTTTAAGTACCACTTTAAAAGAAATACTTGGTTATATTCGAGAAAAACATCCCTCCAAGTTCCACTTGGCTGACGGTGGAATATAAAGTGAGAGAAGAAACATTTAAGCCATTATTTCCCTGACGTGACACTTCCTCTTTGCCTCTTTTGCCTCTACGGTCGGGTCTTATGAGCGGTGGCGAGGGCTCAAGTAACGATATGCAAACGGATTTTAACGGCATTTCGACGTCCATTTATACGCCAACTGTGAGGGTGGAAACGAGGCTTGAGTTCTACGATAATTGAGATAATTGGTGGTGAACCAAACCACATGTGCCTGTTTGCTTAAAAGTCTTGACCTTAGATACAGTTTGAAAAACCAGCTCCTCTCTACGAGGTTTTTTGCTGCGTCATATCAACATCTGTCGGAGAGACAATACTCATGATTCACAAAAGCCACAAGAGCTCCTTGCAAGGAAACACGAGCACGAGGTTCAGTTCTGATCGAATGCACCTCCTCCTTCGACCCGCTCAGCATCAATTACGCCTCTTGTCCCCAAAACGTGTCGTCATCCTGTAACACGATCACGGTGAATTATCACAGTCCGGAACACGACGCGGCACCTGCTGACGGTAACACGGCTGAGGTGACAAATGCGCTTCGGATGCTGATTGAAGTCAAGGTCAAACGTATCAGGAAACCCCTCGTGTTGATTATTGCAGGTGTGTGTGTGCGGGCTGGCTGGCTGGCTGTTTGTGTTGAAGCTTACAGACAGTACTGCGCTACACACACATCTCTCCAGACGCTCTGCAGATAGTGTGTGTGGACAGAGAAAGAGAGCGAGCATATGGGTGTGTTTACTCCCGGTTGGCAGTGTGTGCACTGTGCAGCTCTGCAGCGTGACACAAACACTTTGCATGTGCTTTTAGTACATCCTCTTCCTCCCTCGTTCACCCAGTCCATCATCATCATCATCATCGTTATCATCGTCGTCGTCGTTGCCCAGCTCTCCAAAAATGTATTATCTTCTCTCTTTCCCCCCTCGTTGTTCCCCCTCTCCCGCCTCCTCTCCCTTCATCCTCTTCCTCACCTCCCGCTGCCCCCTCTTTCACTCCATCCTCTTCGTCCTCCTCTTCCCCTCTCGAGGAAGCGAGTAAGAGGGGCAGATTTACACGAGCTGTCATCTACGCTTCCCTCTCGTTTCCTTTCCCCTCTCACTCTCTCTCTCTCTGTCTCTCTCTTACTCTCCCCGCTCGCTGTCTCCACCTCGCTCGCCCCTAGAGATAATTAAAGAGCCCACTAGTAATCCCATCCAGTCGTGCAGCCGGGCAATCAGACACTGTAACACACACAAACACACACTCATGCACAAGACTGCAGCATGTGGTAGTTGTGTGCAAAATGTGTGAGACATAAAACCTTAGTATTTACACACTTTCAGCAGCAAGTAAACCAAAAGCTACAGTTGTAGAGGACACACACACACACATACACACACACACACACACACACACACACACACACACACACAGTCTCTCAGCACAGGCACACGCCAAGAGGCAAAAGACCAATTGACCTAGTTCATTCAAACCTGGCAACCCAGACGAAGGAAAAGATGACTGGAGGAGATGATGGGTGGATGGAGGCATGAGAATCCTGGTAGAAAATAGATTAAAAGAAGTACTGGACTGAGGATGGAGGGATGGATGGATAAATGGATGGATGGATAGATAGATAAATGGATGGATGGATGAACTGATAAACTGATTAATGGATGGATAGATGATAAATGGATGGATGGATAGATGATAAATGGATGGATGGATGGATGGACTGATACATAGATTAATGGATGGATGGATGGATGGACTGATAGACAGATTAATGGATAGATGGATGGATAAATGGATGGATGGATGGATGATAAATGGATGGATGGATGGATGGATGGATGGATGGACTGATACATAGATTATTGGATGGATGGATGGATGGATGGACTGATAGAGAGATTAATGGGTAGATGGATGGATAAATGGATGGATGGATGGATGGACTGATAGAGAGATTAATGGATAGATGGATGGATAAATGGATGGATGGATGGATGGACTGATAGACAGATTAATGGATAGATGGATGGATAAATGGATGGATGGATGGATGACTGATAGACAGATTAATGGATGGACTGATGGATAGATAGATAGATGGATGGATGATGGTTTGAAAGAGGAATGAATGGACTGACACATGTAATGCTGGATAAGGGAATCGAGAGATCAATGGTCATAATAATTAACACAATGGATTGGATGGCAAGTCAATAATGAATTTAAGCTTGTTTTGTATGTTCCTGCATGTATGACATCGACGTGTAACTTGGCCCGGTCACCATTGTAAAAGATATTTTACCTCAGTTGGTTTCATCTGGTTAAACAAACGTGGAATAAATAAAGGAAAAGAGGGAACGGATGAATGGGTGGATGAGGGAGTGAAAAGAGGGATGCATGGACGTGAGACACCCAAATACGAGACTTATTCCGATGGAATGATGCAGAAATTGGGGGGAATGCATGAAAGGAGGCAAAGTAATGGAGGCTTACCAGCTCAAATGTAGTGTGAAGACGGAGGAGTGAAAAGACTTTGGATAGAGGTATGGAGAATTAGAGAGATAAACGGAAGTCATAATAAACTGGATGGCTAAACAATGCTCGATAGATCAATAGTTAAATACGTAGAAACATGAGTGGAGAACAGATGAACGGATGAAGGGTGCAGAAACTGGGAGGACAAAAGGGATAAAAGGCAGCACTGGAACATTGGCTGGAAAACCGGTACTAGAAAGATCAATAGATGGATAGATAGGGGAATGAATGGAGGCTGACCAAGTGCATGTGTGTGTAGGATGGATAGAGGAGAAGATGCACGGAGGGAAGAGTAGATACGGAAGGATAAAGGGACGCGAGACTCCTGAACAGGAAACATTTTGGATGCAGAAATTGAAAATAAGTTAGGTGTGTGTGTACGATAAATGGATGGAGACGGTTCAATGAATGTGGGCTTGACAGCGTGTGTGTGTGGGTGTGTGTGGGTGTGTGTGTGTGTGTGTGTGTGTATAATGAATGTGAGAAAAGATGCATGCTCGTTATTTAAGCGACGTGAGAAACACAGAGATTGAAAGATAAATGAATGCATGAATGAAACGTGCGAGTGTGTGTCACATAAATGGATGGAGGGGTGAAAAGAGGCGTCCTGAGTATGAGACATTTTGGACAGAAAGACGCACCGAACAGACTATATATATAAATTCTCTATATATATATATAGAAAGATAAAGTACCTGTTGCCGATTTGGGTCTGTGTCTTCCTTTGGGCCGTCGTTGGGAATTGCCCGTACTATTCTTCCTGTCCCAAAACATCACCGCCTCATTCCACCAACACACACACACACCGACTGACTGACAGCGCGAGAGAGAGGGTGACGAAGTGTGTGTGTCTCGTGTGTTAAAGCATGTGCAAGACAACCGAGAAGTGTGTGCGTGTGAGTGTGTGTGTGTGTGTGTGTGTGTGTGTGTGTGAGAGAGAGAGAGAGGCAACGTCACAGAATCACTGAAGCCGCCTGCATCCCGGAGTGTGTGACTGCATGTCTATGTGTGTGTGTGTGTGTGTGTGTGTGAGAAGCTCGGCATGTGATTGCGGCTGAACGAGAGAGGGAGAGTGACAGAAGACGAGAGAGAGAGAGAGAGAGAGAGAGAGAGAGAGAGGAGTGTGTATCGTACGCTACGTGTGTGTGTGTGTGTGAGCTCGCCTGAGTGCACCGCGCTACGTGAGCTGTTGACAAAGCAGGCTGTGTGTGAACCTGAGTGTGCAAGCATGCATGTGTGTGTGTGTGAGCAACCTCCTCACATCTCAATGAAAGGTTTGGCTGTTGCTGATGAGCATGTGCGTATATTTGTATGTGTGTGTGTGTGTGTGAGAGAGAAAGAGAGGGAGCATTCGTTGTGTTGATGCAGCTCACAGCCAGTCGCATCGAGCCGCTGCTGTTCAATTCATAAAGAGCAAGGCAGAGAGCAGCCAATCAGAGGCCAGAGACCGAGAGAGGGAGATCGAGTTAGGACGAGAGAGAGAGAGAGAGAGAGAGAGAGAGAGAGAGAGAGAGAGAGAGATAGAAGGGGGATGGAGTGAGAGAGGCAGAGCGAGAAATAAGAAAAAAGGGGCGGGGTTGGCACACAGAGAGAGATGGATTGGCTATGTGACTAGAAAACAGAGTGGACTTAATAGCCCAAAGTATGTGGACACCTCCGTCCATATTTAATGTCCAAATACTTTTGGGAGGTTGACCCCTCGTTCAAGCCAGATACAGAACTCTGTGTTTGCATTGTCAAACAATACTCTCAGTAAAGTTTTAAGAAACTAAGACGTATGAATGATGTATAAATACAGAAGGAATCAAATAGTCCATCACGCAATTTACATAATGCGCTGTTTCAAGTATTTGTTTCCCAATTGTTCCCATTCTTAGACCACAGTACGCATGAAGAGAACAGCTCTCACGTTCCACTTATCCCGATGCCCTTTGTGCACAAAGCCAGAACTGAACTCAACCCCATCAACACCTGTTAGGATGAACTGCAACAAGGTTTTGGTGAAACAAACATGTGGGTGTCCACATACTTTTGGCCACATAATTAACTGCAGAGAGAGAGAGAAGGATAAAGACTGCAGGAGGAGGACTGCACAGGGGTGGAAAGACAAAGAAGCTCATACAGACGGACAGAGAGATGAATAAATGAAGACGTGATACCGAGTGGGTTCAGACGGAGAGACAGAAGATTGAAAGTGAAGTGAGCGGCACAGCGAACGAGATTGAGAAGGTGAGGGAGGGAGACAGAGAGAGGGGGAGAAATGGGGAGAATACAGAATGAGGAGAGAGGAGACACCAGGGTACCTTCAACCTCATCGGTGCACCATTTCTCCATTTACCCCCCCCCCTCCTTCCCCTCTTCCTTCTCGTAATCTAGAACACCACAGGTGTTTCATGCATTCAAGAAGCCCGTTCACAATGTGAACCCAGTCCCTTCAGGTGGATTTACTCCGTGCTTTACTCTGTAAAAGCACCACCTTTGAGATGCGCCACGAGCTCCTAAAACATCATGTCATAAACTGCGTGCCATCCTGGTGGCGACACGTGACAAACTGCACGTTCACGCGAACCTTAAATCTCCACTCAGGTGGAGTTCAGGGCCACAGCGAGGTTTATTGTCGCTGCTGCTGCAGAAGCTGTTGTGATAGATAGACAGCCACACAGCTGCTGTGAGACTCTGGAGTCAAATTCTTTACTCAACCAAACCACGCACGCACACAGGAAACATGTCGCCGCTAACCATAAACTAGACCTGACCACACACACCTACACACACACACACACACACAGGCAGTAAGTCATGTCCATTTGGCAGGAACAGACAGCAAAGAGCACTGGAGGCCATTTCTGTCCTCTCTCGTCTTCCCCCTCTCCTCTCCTCTCATATCACCTCTAGTCCATCATGCTCTTCTTACTATATGGTGAAGTACTTCTACTGTACTGAAGTACACGCTTGAGGTACTTGTGCTTGAGTACTTCCATTTTGTGCTACTTTTTACGACACCACTTTTACAGCTGTATACTTTCCAAGTTTAGATTTAATAATAGAATGAAACAGACATTTGAAACATCAGTTGATAAAACAATCGCTCCATTTAACAGTTGTTCTGGAGCTTTTATTTTATGAATTATGTGGCTTTTGGACTGAATTTGATGATAGTACTTCTAAACTTTAATGACCTTTAATTGTAATGCAGTACTTGTAGATTGTAGTATCTGTACTTTTACAGGTAGAAGATCTGAGTGCTTCTTTCTGTCAGTCTGGAACCATCATATCGGCTGAAATAATGAAACTAGTATTTCCCATCAGGGCTTTTTCTTTGCCAGTGACGTTAATAATTTAGTTTCTTTTCTTCAGTTCAGGTGCATTAGAAGATAAATCTGTGTTTTAATCGTTGTGGTTATTGCAGGCTATTAATACTATTAAGTTACAGTATTTGTTTGCTGACTAATACGTTTAGTAGTAATATGCATTAATGTTATGTAAGACGTTCTGTCTCTTTGTTTTCTTCAGTTCAGCTCAATTCCATCTCCTTCAATGTAGCTATAACATGTTAATAACGGACACAACCAGACGATCTATTGCACTGAGAGTAAACCTGCTGCCATCATGAATCTGCTCTATTCTTCCTCCTGCAGCTCTGCCTCGTCACCTCTCCTCCTCCTCCTCCTCCTCCTCACCACTGCATCACACATCCTGACAAGCAGCTGATGGAAAAAGCAGCGAAAGAAATGTGCTGAAATATCAACAGACTAGAACAAGATATCACACCCACACCACTATATATAGTGCTGGCATGACAATGCAGCTAATTACTCTATTGTGTTAAAGATAAACTCTATTTATCAGGCAAACATTATACATCATGAACATTATACTTTATTTAGACATTACATCATCTCGTATCCCTCAAATAATGAGGTGTTCTTCAGATCCAGGTGAGGGAACACAAAGATGAAATAAGATTATTATAAATAACTGTAAAACCAGAAACATTTAGGATTCGGTCTGTAAGTAAAGTCACGTAAAGACACAATGAGTAAAGTCGTGAGTTCAGCAGGTTTTCATCATGACACACATGATAACTGATCATAATGAAACCTTGTCCTCGTCACCTCACATTGGTTAAAATGTCTCTGGTGAACGCCGATAGGATCAAAAGTGAGGAGATGAAGATGCAGCACGGTGAGAAGGGGACGCTGGGGTTTCATCGGGATGTTTACTTCTGCAGAGAGACGATCTCAGCAGTAACTGAGCTGAGCAGTGGAACTGAGACAAATGACTTCACAGCTCATCTCCTCTCCCCAAAGACACGTTTCTGGAGATCATTCTTCTTTTTATTAGAGGCCATTATGGCCTCTTTCCTTTTAACGAAACACATCCTGCTTCAAGGGTATATGTTGTTATGCCTTGTAGGACAGATGATGTCTGTCTCTGTCTGTTTACCTTCCACTCACAGGCTAGTTACTGGAGGACTGACTCTGGAGACGTTTGCTCGAGCCTTTAAAACCTCATCAGGGGCTGCAGCTAGGGATCATTTCTGTCATTGATTAACCATTTAGGGTTTTAAATGTCCAACATATATAGTTTACAATGACGTATAAAGTCCCTAGGATGCATCCTCAGGGGAGCATGAATATGTGCACCAAATGTAATTACAATCCACCCAACAGTGTGGATCCTGCATTGCCGTCCACGCTGCTAGCATGGCTAAAAACAAACATGGAGGACAGCTTAAAGAACGGCATCATGTGCCTTGCTCAAGGGCACTTCAGCAGGTGGATAGTTGAACCCGTTCCCCTTTTGCAGTGAGACACAGCCGCTAATGCTCGCCTGGCGTACGGGAAACATATTTGCACAGTGAAATCTGCTGATACAAATATCCCTAAACCATCCCTAATCCAGGTTCATCCTGGGCCTCCCACAGAGATCGCTTTGATAGCTCTTTCGCCATATTCAATCCCGCCACTTATGTAACCGGTGTCGAGCGCCGTTAAGAGAGCGGGCTGTTCCTTTCTTGCTGATTTTGCCAGTTTTGCCAGCCATTTCTCAGAACATCTCGTTAAGTCGTCGGCATCGACTCCGCGCGAGCGGCTTCGTCTCGTCAGCTATCACTGTGAATAACGGGCGACGCTCGCTCTCCTTCTCGTGGCTTCAGGCTCCGTCTTGTGCTGACAGCTCGTTCTATCACACGTTCTGTTCTTCTTCCTTTGAACCACTTTGTCTTCTCTTTACTAAACCAACCTTTTATCTTCGTGACTTTCTCTGTCTGTACTAGAAAAAGCCAGAAAAGGTGAAAGAATATCACATTTCCCACTTTCTTTTCTCTGTCTCTCGCCCTCGTTCTCGTGTCATTTTCACACGAGAACGACCAGAGCATCGACCTCTCAGTTCTCACACGGGTTCACCGAAGATAAGAAATGATAAGAAATCCTTCCTCTTTCGCCGCCCAAAATCTCACCCAAGCACCTACAATATTTACCCTCCTCTTATCTCGTTCTCAGGGGCCCAACCTTGAACTAACAGGCAAACAATGCAGCTCATGCCAAACCAAACCCTCTGATAATGAGCTGGTGGTCGCTATCAGAGAGAAGGACGGATCAAAACAAGACAAACAAAAGACCTCGTTCCTTTTTCTTCTCCATTTCAAAACAGTGTTTGTTTGCCTTCGTTGTGGTCCGTTCAAAAGGTAATTCATCCTTCAAAGACACGCTACACGGACAGAAAGAAACGGCAGAGATGCTTTACATCCCTGTTTGTCCAGTTCAAACAAACGAAAGCGCGGCGCATTACAACACTCTGTGAGGTGTGAAAACTTGCTTAACTTGCTTTCTTTTTTCCAAGGAACCTGCAAACAAATGTGGTTCAGGAGAACAAAGGGATTCCTACAAGTTTATTCTGTCTCTGATTCACTTGCTGGATGAAAAACCTCACATTCAGCAGAGAAAATAGCTTTTTTTCCAATTGTTTTGTTGCGAGATTGAAAATCGAACTGACTTGTTGAGGTATTCAAGGGAAGGTTTTTAAAGTAGACCCCTTGCTGTGTTTTCTTAATGCTGTAGGCACCTCTGAGTGTTAAGAGTTGCATGAGAAAGAGAAACCACATGCTGCGAGAGGTAACGATCTGAATTCTGACGAATTCATCCTCAGACAAGACGGCGTGAACTACATCTCTTCCTCTCTTCTTTAATCCAGCTTCCACTGGATTTGAAGTTCGTCCTCGATTTTCATTGAATCCTGAGTGCGTCAGTTAACGGGGATGGAACTATTTACTGATTGCAGACTCGTTTTATTTAAGCCCAGGCCACACCAGCGGACCTAACTGAGGCTCCAGCTGGTGAACTGTAGCTGTTAGTGCCAAAACGCTGAAGCTGCAAAAAAGTCAACGTTTTTTGGACTTTTCAACTCTTCGTTCCCTCAAAGGTTAAAGGTTAAGAGAATCTTCTATTGGTCAATGGCGTAAATTTGCATATTTAAGTTCACCA